ATGATATTTTTCTGTGACTTTGAAATGTATGTAACTGTTAGGAAACAGTAAGTAAACCTCTTGTCAGTGTCAAACCCCAGGAATGTCTTTCTTAAGGACCAGAAAACCATCTCTTTGAATTGAAATTTTCAAGGAACAAAGCAGCATTATATCCCGGTTTCTGTGGGATAGTAGGAGCATAAATTCAGCGGGTGCCTCTCTTTAAGGCACAGAACTACTGCCTCTCACAAAGATGTGAGAAGTTTGTGTTTCCCTTGGATAATGCCAATTAGCTAACACAAATGGCCACCCCAATTACCAGAACAATCTAATATAAACATGTGTAACAAATGGCACCTCAAGTTTCCTTACTTGACTACTAGTTATTGATTATCTTGAGAACATGTATGTAATAGATTCTATTTGCTGGACTGTATAAAAGAATAAGATTTATTTTTGGTCTTTGCAGTCTCTAAGCAGATTGTCTGTGATGTGCACCACATTCTGGTTTATTGCTTATTCAACAATAAAATTGTTTCCCTTTTCTTTTGTCTTTCTGGAAAGATTTTCTGGATTGGAAGAATACTTTGTTTTTAATTATATTTTCAAAAGAAAACAACTCAAAATGGGATATGATAGAATGAACAAGATTGGTAGTAAATATTGGAAACTCATTATTTATTTTTTTACCATGGCTGAAAATTGCAGGAAATGAGAGGGGTTGTAACTTTAACTTTTGACTTTATGTATTTGTCAACTGATTGATTTCTTGCAATCAGACTGATTCTTTGCAGTATCCAAGATATGGAATCAATACAAGGGTTCATCAGCAAATGTGTGGATAAAGAAAATGTGCTATATATACAGCATGATAACCATAGTTAATAATATTTATTATATACTTGAAATTTCCTAGGAGAGTCAGTATTAAATGGTTTAACTACACACATACACATACACACACATAAACACACACACAAACACAAAGGTAACCATGTAAGGTAATGGATATGCGATCTAGGTAGATAATAGCAATCATTCCACAATATATATGTATATCAAAACAAAATGTTGTATAACTTAAATATATACATTTTTATATGCCACTTATAAAATTGAGGTAGTGGGGAAGGAGATCTACCAGTCAGCACAGTGAACAAACATGAAATAGCTCAAAGGCTATTTCATATTTGTGAAATATGAAAGTGCTAATTACTTTCATTGAATAAGTTGTTTATTTCCATAACACTTTCTGATGTAGCTCTTATCATCTTACTTTTATAGATAAAGATATAGAAGTTTAACTACTTGAGTTATAGCCAAATAAATCAAAACTAGCAAGTGAATTTGAGCATATACCTACTGACTTCAAGTCATATTTTCTCCAGATTGCAATTAATTCCATATATTGAATATATTGAATAAAGAAAAGCAGAAAAAGTTGACTGAAAAGTCACCTAGATACAACCAAAAATTAATATTTCATCTAGGTTTTTTAGAAGATTATAATTTATAAAACATTGGCTGTGTCAGACACTAGTTATTATTTTGGTAAAATAATATCTTAATTTTCACAAGAACTTAAAAAGGCAATTTTGTTAATGGTTGTTTTTGTTTTGTTTTTAATATGTGAAGAAAAATCTACAGTGGTCACCTCCCAGAGGGAATCTGGAAATGGAATTGGGAATTAGGTTCCAGGCTACAAAGCCCATGCTCTTTCCATTATGCATAAATTGCACAAGCAATGATGGTTGCACAGGCAGCTCAGTCAGCATAAAAGAACACACTGAGTCATGAAAGTATAGCTATAATCAAGGTATAACAGTAGTTTTACTGGAAGGACCACAGAGATTTGGAGCACAACGGAAAAAATGCAAAAAAAATACTAAACCTGGAATTAGGAAACGCAAAGGTCCTAGCCTTTGGTTTTTCACCAGGTACCTATTAATTTGTTGTGGTTTTTTTTTTGGTCTTCAAATTTCTTATTTTTTGAACTCTCCAGACACTGAAAATACAAATGTGAAAAGACAATATGGTCCCTGGTCTTTTGAAACTCACATTCTACTTGGAGAAACAACATTAATACTAATAAAGAGAATCACAGTCAAAACATTTATAGATTATACCAATGATCATGAAGGAAACATATAATGTGAAGACAGGGGTGGGAGAATACTTCTGTAGGATTTCAGAAAGGACTTTCAGACATGGGAGCTGGGATGTAGTTTAAATGTTTACTAATTTCATATTGCTGCTTTAAAATATACACTCTAAACTAATGCTTCAAACAACAACAAAAACACATTATCTTGCAGTTCTATAGGTCAAATGCATGAAATGAGTTAGCAGGGCTACACTCTTAATATGGTTTGGCTCTGTGTCCCTACCCACATCTCATGGTGGATTGTGATCTTCATTGTTGAATGAAGGGCCTAGTAGGAGGTGACGGCATCATGGGAGTGGACTTCCCTTTTGCTATTTTCATGATCGAATTTTCACAAGATCTGGTGGTTTGAAAGTGTGTGGTGCTTCCCGCTTTGTGCTCTCTCTCTCTCTCCTGCTCTGCCTGGTAAAGTGTGCTTGCCCCTCTTCACATTCTGACATAGTTGCAAATTTTCTGAGTCCTCCCAGTCATACTTTCTGTACAGTTTGTGAAACTGTGAGTCAAGTAAACATCTTTTCTTCATAAATTACCCAGCCTCAGGTAGTTCTTCATAGCAGTATGAGAAAAAACTAATGCAGACAACAGTATAGTATCTTCAAATCTTTTTCTCTCTATTATCTCTACTTCAATCATTGACAGTGGCAGGAGGCAAACAAATCCCAAAATTAAAAATTGCTAGGAGTTACCATTATATCATGTAATTGAGACTACTGAAAATAGATTTATATGTGACGTATACACTTACATGTGACGTGTGTAAGGAAAGTAAAATGTGTTTTTGGTAAAAGATTACATGACTACATGGGAATGTAAATTTTTGACTTATTTAGAGGGTTAAAGGATTGTTTGAAATTAGATAACACAAAGCTAAAAGTTTAAACAAGTTGTGGAAGGTTTGTAAAAATCTTCTAAAAGAAATTCTACGTGTGAACATATTGACTAAAAACAAAGAGGATTTTTTTTTCATAAATTGTACATTAGAATAAAAGCACAAAAATGTTTTATTAAGGCACTGATTTGCTCTTTAACAAAACTTTGTAAAGAGTTATAAAAAGTTTACAAGAATTTCACCTTATGGTCAAACTGATTAAAATTAGATTTGTCTATAAGGTTTCATTTAAAAATCAGGGTTGACATTAATAGTAGATTAATGCAAGGGTGAAATGTGGCATTCTCTATCTTGAAAAATATTTTCATATACTATTATATGATAATGAAAAGTTTTTGATTGCCTTGAGAATAACCTACCAAAAAGGAAGGGAAAGAGAAGAGACAGAATGTTTGGAAAGCTAAGTCTTCCCTCTTAATCAGTAAAGGTTTTGCCTTTTTACGAAGTTTTGAGTCATCATTTTGGCTAAATAAATGATTTATGGTAATGTGGAATTCTATTTAATAATATTAGGTGTTTTAAACCTTTAACATGTTTGATAGGTTTCCAACAATCAAATTTCAGCTTCAAAATAGTATTTTCTGACCCCAAAATTTGGGATACTACAGAGGGCCACTGGAGCATCCAATAGAGAAGTAAAGAGGATTATTTGACATATTTAGTTACATGAGATTGTCAAAATAAAAATAATGTGTAATCCTCTTCAGGTTATATTTTAGTGAATAATAATATATGTTCCAAAATTATATGTGATTTCTAAGATTCTAATATCTGAGTGTATGCTATCAATCATAATTAGAGTTATTATGTTAAGTATTGTAAACCACAAAAAATAACCCAATTTCTTTGTCCATTATGTTTTTGATTGTGACTATCCTAAGACATTTTGTCTTTCACAGGCAATTGTTGTCTTGTGTTGATCCTCTTCAAAAGATGGTTTATACTCAGCTACAAGACTTTGACAGGTGCTTTCTAATGCAGGTTTCTGGTAACTTTAGAGTTTGTGACATTAGAGTAGAGGAAAAATGTTCAGGACCCATGAAGAGCTGAAATATTCATGAATATCAAACAGAACAAGTATTGAATGAATAGATTGAGCTAATAGAAGATGAAGTAATGTTTTTTAACTTTTTGCTTAAAACATTGCTGATCCTTTATTTTCAGAGTCAGGAAAACTTTTATTTTTGAGCTATTTACAGCTTTTGACAATTGAGTAAAATATACTTCTGTGAACAAAATGTGGAGCATATTTGTTTCTCTCTGCCTGCTTCCTCCAGAATTTGGAAACTATTTGTGAGTATCCTTAACTTATGGCAATATAATTATTTGCATAAGTGCAATAAGAATTAATTTTCTTTTGCATCAGGATGCAATTGGAGAAACTGGTTATTTTACCAAGGCTTTGACTGTAAGGTTGTGCTTCCTTTTAAGGAATCAAGCTTGACTTGCAGAGCCAATAAAAGCCCTTAGGAAAACTGGCCTCACACCTTGTCTATACAGTCCTTGTACAGGGTTCCTAACCTGTTCTGAGTAAAGAATGTCACTTTCTAACGGGTGCAAGGACCCCAAGTTATCTTGGGACCTCAAAAAGAGCAGAATTTACCCAAGTCAGAGATAGCTGAGAATACAAATCTATGGCTGGGCTCAGCTTTAAATGTCTTATCTGAGATTCCTTATGGAACAGAGTTCCATCAAAGTCAATTTAAAAAGCCAATGTGAAAATAATTATTCTTGCTTTGCTTTATGCTAATAATCAGGCCAACTATAATAAGACTGCAGTTAATTTGGAAACAAATCAGTCCTATCATGATTTGTTTTTAACAAAAATGAGAATAGAATAGAAAAAAATTATGTTTCAAATGTTACGGTACATCTACTATCAGACTGTAGTCTTATTAATTGCTTTTAAATTTTTGTCTACAATTTAGACTAACCTTGCTTATTCCTGTGAACCAATCAGTGATCTTTGGCTACAGCTCAGAAGAAACAAAAGTGATGGGTAATATAAAAATCTGGATCAATATTCTAATTCTGGGCAATTATCCTTCTCATCCTGCCAGGTGATGGGGGTAAAGGGAGTGCCCATACCCAGAGGATTTTTTTTTTCTTGGAAAATAAGACCAAGGTAGCTAACCAAAGCCAAGCTCCATGCACCCAAGTCTTAGCAGGTATAACTATAGTCACTAGTTATCTGGGCATTCTGGCAGCCTTAGGATTTTCGGGCTGTCCTTACCTGCTTGTTCCCTTTGATCCATGTTGTCTAATAACTGGTTTGTCTCTTCTCACCTCCAGGCCATCAAACTTCAAACAGTAATGCAAATGGAGCCTCAGACAAAAGTTTCCTTTGACTGAGAACCCTCAGATAAGCCTCTGAGATATCTGAATGTCATATCCCCAAAACAATGGCCCCTGTGAGCATGAAACAGTTAAGTGTTGTCATAATTCCTGCCCCAATGGCAGTTAGATATACCTCTTCAGAGGGGCAACTGATAGCAGCAGGAGGCAGACACTTCCCTATGTAGATAGGGATGGGTCCCCAGTGAAACCCCATCTTCCAGCCAAAAACAGATTGAAGCCCTCAAGATTGGACTGCAGGTTCCAGATGAAGCTTGCGACCCACAGTAAGAACTCTTTTATCCTGTTTGCCTGCTCTTTCCTGGTTGGTTCCTTATGAATAATGCATTGTTTTCTTTCTTTTTTGTTTGTTTGTTTGGAGACAGAGTTTGACTCTGTCACCCAGGCTGGAGTGCAGTGGCACAATCTTGGCTCACTGCAACCTCCACCTCCCAGGTTTTAGTGATTCTCTTGCATCAGCCTCCAGAATAGCTGGGATTACAGGCACATGCCACCACACTCAGCTAATTTTTGTTGTTGTTGTTGTATTTTTAGTAGAGATGGGGTTTCACCATGTTGGCCAGACTGGTCTCAAACTCCTGGCCTCTAGTGATCTGGCCTTGGCCTCCCAAAGTGCTGGGATTGCAAGCTTGAGCCACTGCACCTGGTTCTGAATAATGCTTTTTAATCAATTGAATGTTGCCTTTTCCAGTGCTACCTATGGCCCGCACCTCCCCTCTTCTGTGCCTTTAATAAAGCCCACAAACTCAGCCACACTTGAGAACTACCCGACTTCAGGCAGAGGGTTGCCCATTCCAGGTCCCACCTCCACTGAGAACTGTTCTGTGGCTCAATAAAACTCTCCACCCTGCTTACCCTCTGGTTTTCAGTGTAGCCTTATTTTTGGATGGAAGATAAGAACCCAGGAACTGCTGAATGCATGTGCAAAAAAGGCTGTAACACTGTAGCCCTCTGCCCTCTGCCAGTGCCAGGCAGCCGTGCCACACAACGGGAAGCAGTGGTGGGGTTGGGCCAGCCCAGGAGCCACGGGCTGGAGTGTGGTACTGGAACTGAATGAGCTATAACTTATACAAAAAATGGGCAGAAACACTTCCCCCATTTACTCTGCTACAGGCAACAGGAAGGAGAGAAGAGCTACTACCCTTCTAGGGGCCCAGACCTTAGGGCTCCCTGAGCCAAAGCCGTAGCACAATGTAACACCCTCTTTGAAGTTCTGCAATTTCTAGCATTTGCAAGTTTTTGGGGTGCCACTGTGTTCCTCTCGTCCAGATGCCAGCACCCAAGGCAGAAGCAGGTTACAGCACACCTAGCCCAGCCATGAACTGATCATGGATCCCACAGTTGGGGTACCTCCAGCAGCAAGCCTGGAGTGGGTCTCCAGCTGGGGAAGTGGCACAGAAAAAAAATTCTGCCTCATCATTACATCTCCTTCTCTTACTCTGATACTCTTGACTTCCTCTTATAAAAGCCGTTGTCATTATATTGAACCTGCCCATATAATACAAAGTAATCTTTATCTCTCAAAATTCTAAATTTTAATCATACCTGCAAAGTCCCATTTGCCAAGTAATGTAAAATACGTTCTAGGGATTAGGGTGTGCACATCCTTGTGTGGGTGATTATTCTACTACATGAAAGTCTTGGTGTTAATACTGGGGACTTGGGAAGAATAGACTGTAGAGTTCAGTAATGAAAATGTGGAAACAGATATCCAAGAGCCCTGAGACTGTAAGTAACTGGGGGTTCCTTATAATGTGAGAGATTAGTGTTAGTCCAGTGCCGTGTGGAGGGAAAGTGGTACAAATGAAATGTCATAATTTCAAAGAAAGACACACAGGGCCTGAGGTTTTTCAATTATTTAGTGGTGGCATTCGGTTATATGGTTTCTCATGTTACTTGTCACTGTTTGTTTCAGTGATTCCATGAAATGGTGAACAGAACCAGAAAGCCTCAGGGCTCACCTGGGAGTATAATAAACGTGGCAAGAAGAGACGGATGTATTTTAGGAACAGTCATGGTATTTGTAAAGAATATAGTTTTGTAAGAATTTAGCTGAAAATGCTTTACGAGTTGGTAAGTTGCCAGTTTTAAGAACAATTTGGACAAAAATGTTGGAGCCCTGTCCACAGTAGACACCCAGTGAACACATTTTATGTAAACCTCCTCTATCCCTTCTCCTTTTGCAGTTCATCTTAAAAAATAGATTATTTTAATAAATAGCTGATGAGTTTTGCATCTGTATGACTTACTGAGACTTCCACAGGTCTTGGCATATATTGTTTTCACAATCATGAGTTAGCCATTGATATCCACATTTAACTGGTAAAGAACTTAGATTCAGAGAAGTTATTTCAGATTCAGATCAAGCAGCTACTTGATCAGCATCAAAGTTTCCCACTCCACATTTCTGTCCCTTTTCTGTAGGGCTCTTTAGGTAGCAAATGATAAATAAAAATGCATCAGATTCCAGTCAGAATTGCATTTAAATCAAAGTTGAATATTTTTCCTTTGTATTTCCCTTTACATCCTATGGAGGAGGCAGGCTTGTTCTCATAATAATAGGAAGCCAACTTCCTATGATTAGTGAACTCAAATTCCAGTCCACAGCATGCTTATGTGTATCTGGATAGTTTTAGGAATGTCAATGTATGACTGAAAGCTCAAACTGGCGTGATAACAGAGTATTCTCGTGTTTGGCAACTATCTGAAAGAGAATATGGTACAGAGGAAGGCTGATGGACACAGAGAGACTACATCTGCCTCTTCTAAGCTGTACAACTGCGGACAACTCTTGCAGCCTTTGTGTCTTCACTTGTTAAATAGGGATAATATCTATCTTAAAGGATTAAATATATTTGAGGTAGGAGGCAGGATTCAGATGTGAAACTACAATGAGGACTAGCTCAAACAGGGCTGGGGTGACAGCAGCTTTCAATCAGACAAACCCACTAAGAATAACATGTCAATTTACCATTGCCATGGCAACACCTGGGTGTTACCACCCCTTTCCATGGCAATACCCAATGACCCAAAAGTACTATCCCTTTCCCTGAAGTTTCTGCATAAACCACCCCTTAATCTACATGCAATTAAATGTGGGTATAAATATGACTCCAGAACTGCCCTGAGCTGCTGCTCTCTTCCCACAGGGTAGCCCTTCTCTGCAGGAGCAGTTACGGAGCTGTAACACTGCTTCTTCAGTAAAGCTATTTTCTTCTACCTCTGGTTTGCCTTTGAAATCTTTCCAGGGCAAAGCCAAGAACCCAGTGGGCTAAGCTCCACTTTGGGGATTGCCTTCCCTGTATCATATTAAACAAGACTTTAAAACATGAAGCCCTGTCACATAGTAGACACCTGGTGAACACATTTTATGTTACCTCCTCTGTCCCTTCTCCCTTTGCAAAGATGGAGTAACTACAGATCAAAAAGTTATTCTTTGTTCTAATCAACCTGACTTTTTGCAGTTTCCCAAGAACTGAATGTTCTATTTGATTCGGAACATGGTACATGAGTCTCTCTCCTTATATAGTATCTTTCTCTTATCCTTTGCCTACTAAATTATTTTCATTTAACCAGGCTCATTTCACACAGTATTTCTGACTCACTCTATAGCAAGATGTTCACTGGATTCCCCTCACACCTGCAGCTTCCTTCTCACTTTGCTGTAGTCACATTGGATTTTACTGTCTCTGACCCAGGCTGTCCTATGGGCTTCTTGGACAGCACTCATTCTTATCTGTCCCCTCATTCTCAGTGCAATGCTTGCCCCTCATTACAAGTTCAGCCCTCTGAGAGATCAAATGAATGAAACAAACGTCATCCCTGTCTTCAAATAGCTCACAGTCTAAAAGGGGAGATAGGTAAAAAACAAACACTAAACCTAAGCGGATGAAATTATATTTAGGCAACTTGAATAAAATGCTATGAGAACACAGAGGAGAATGATTTACTCTGACATGGGAGAGAACAGCCCCTAGAAGATTCAATATATGGATGTAGGTTTAAGTGCCCAAAGAAGAAGCAAAGTCCATCTCTCCAAGGATACCAGCAGTGAAGACTTAGATTCGTAAACAAATAAACAAAAGATGGCAACCTATGTAAGAAGATCAGGGAGCTGGTGTGGCTGAAGGTCAGATATTTGGGCAGTTGGGAGAATAGGAGGGGATGCAGCTGAGAGCCTCTTGAAAAGACTGGAAATACCTGAGTATTATCGGCTAAGTGAGTGGAGAAAACAATGGCATAAGGACTGAAGATCCCCATCCCAACCCCTCTCTCTCTCCTTCCTCTCTCCCTTCTTGACTCTCTCTGTCCCTCTACCTACCAGCCATCTTTCTTTGTCTATCTCTCTCTCTGTTTCTCTCTCTGTGCCTCAGTTTCTCTGTCTTTGTCTATTTCTCTATTTTCTCTTTATATGTGTCTCTATATCTCTGTCTTTATCTCCCATCATGTTGCAGGCAAGGAAGAGAGTAGAGAGATGGTTTAGGTTGAGTAGGTTGGTAAAACTGAAGTCATTTAATTTAGCTCATAAATTTTATCTCCAAAAAATTACCTTATTTAGCATCTGCTGAGTGTTTTTCTGCCCAGAGACTATACACAGAACCATTAACTGAGCCTGGGTCTGATCCTAGTCACATCTTCGAGTATTGCTTAAACCTCGAAATCCCATTTATATGTCATTTTAGAAGGATAGATTGGAATCCAACACTCAGAAATGAACATGTTAAACTCCTCTGCTGCTGAGTCAACCACAAGCCAAACTTACTTTGCAGCTAACACTTCATAATAGTTATGTGCTCAATAAATGTCCACCCCGAATATGGATTTCACAAAAATGCACCACTATAGCCACCCCAAGGGTTTATGATCCATAATTCATTTTGGAAAATGGCTTGATTCACTTGAAGCAGTAAAATCTGAGAACTTCATGGCTCATAATAATGTCAGAGAAAGCAATCTCCCATGCTAACTGTGTGCAGAGAATTAAAGCCACACTATCTAAACACTGCACCAATCTTGTCCCCACACAAATCAAGAGGGACCCACCCCTGAACACTCTGAGGAGTAATAATCAAGGCCAATTCATGTTTTATCATCTGAAAACCAGGGAATGTGCTGATATAATCCTTCCAAAGGAAATAAGTCATCAAAGAAAAATGGATCCTAGTTTCAATTTTTCATGACCCTAATTGGGTTCCCATTTGACCTCAACTTATTTTCCAGCCACAATTCTTGACTCTTTTATTTTATACCCACATCATTTGTTTCCCTAACAAAAGAGCTTCTCAGATTTCTTAGAATGGAGTGTGTTTCTACTCATTTCCAAGCATTTACACAAATGAATACCCCTCCCTACAATACACCTATTCATTCTTCAAAGTCAAATTTAATGCTACTTCCTACAGGAACTCTACCATATGACATTATAATTAGTGGTCTCTTGAGGGCAGGAGCTGTCTATTAAACTTATTGGTACATAACAGCTGCTTACCTATATTTTTTTATCTTGGTTTTATTTGATGTCCTCTAAATGTTAGACACATAGGTAATATAATTTTGTAGTATATAAGACTTTAATCCAACAACATTATTTGATAGATTTGAAAGAAGAGGCAAGAAAAATCAAGACATTTAATCAAGATAAGTGGTAGAAGAGGCATAACCAAACTGTCCACCTCTTTTTGGCAGAATGTCCGACTCTCAGTTAAGTATTTAGCTCGACCATGGCATTTTGCGTTCTTTCAGAAGGATAAAATGAGACAATTATGCAAAGTGGTTAGTATTGTGCCTGGCACATCTTTAGTGCATCTACTAGATGATACTTATTGTTTGTATGTCATATTATTGCTATCACTCCCACTAGCTGGGCACCTGCTTTACATTTCAAAATTTTACATCTTCTTTTCATAAAAACACTACAAAGTAAATATTATCCTTAACTTATATACAAGAGAAGAGAGGCTTATAGTTTCAAAAACTCTTGCAAAGGTCACCCTGTTACATAGGCAGTATTCAAACCTCATTAACTTTTATTGTTTTTTACTCAAATGTCCTTTCTTCATTTCTCCCAGCTCACATTGCCTTCCCATCCAGAGGAGAGTTTGGGCTGAATATCTAATCTCTGGGGAGATTTGTGGTCCTGCATTCTATAATGCCATTGTCTTCCTGGGTAACGGAATGTGTCCTGAGTCAAGGAACCTTGCCTAGGAATTGGAGAGTGGCTGCCTCCAGGGCACTGCACATTTGTTAAAGAGCTCAGTTGCAGAGCAGGTCATTTATCTCGTTCTGGTTTTGATCAGTCTAATTATTCATGAAATGATTCATCACAAAAATAACGTATTAGAATGAAAACATTCTTAAAACAAAGCAAGACAAAACATCAAGCTTCAGCAACTGCAGTTTCCAAGGTTGCCATCTTGATGGTGCTCCTGCAGTGACTTTGAATGCAAGGAAACCAGTCTCACCATTTAGTCAGATGTTTTTCTCACGAGGGGAGAGGAATCGCATGAGCTCTTGGACAAATATTTAGTGATCACCTGCTAAGTAAAGCATATGGAATGCATGATGGATGATACAGAGAAACATAATGCAAATCTCTTGCCTTCAAAGACTTCGAACCCCTAGCACTGTAAAACATTGCTGAAGGGAGAATAATTTGTTTTATTTACTTTGGAAAATTGACAGAAAGTACTAAATCTAAGCGTAATCTACCCTCTGGATCAGGAACTGCACTCTGAAATATACATCCAGGGACAATGAGTACACATGCCCCCAAAGACTTAAGAACATCTGAAGCAGCTTTGTTTATAACAGTCAAAAACAGGGAGGTAGGAAATCATCAACACTAGAATTGTGAATAAACTGTGATCTAGTCATACAGTGAAAAATAATCAGAAACAAACAAAACAAACTACTGCTACACATATCAACGTGGATAAGTTTTGCAGTCTGAATATTGAGGAAAACAAGCCACGTATTAAGAGGCACATATCTTATGATTCTGTTCACATGAAATACAAGGAAAAGCAAAACTAATCTAATAGAAGTCAATATAATAGTTACCTCAGTGTAGTGAAGTGTTAACTGGGAAGATGAATGAATATTTCAAAGGATACTGCAAAAGTTCTGTGTCTTGATCTCCGTGCTACATAGGCAGTATTCAAACCACATTCTATATGTATGCAAGTCTCTATCCAGAAGATACATTGCGCTGTACCCTCAATATCTGCGCACTTTGTATA